CCTGAGGGAATGCTCTCATCTTCCTGTAATTGAGAGGTCTCAGTTCAGGCCTGAGTGTTTTTTTCAGGTTAGACTACCACAGCACAGATTAGTAGTGAAACTGTATCGATCCTTCCTGGCTCTTACAAGGCACTTTTTTAAAAATAGTCTTTCAAGAGGGACCTCCTCTTGAGAGGTTGCTTCTGTCTACTCCTAGAAGCAGGTCGGAAGGATCAGCCACGCTACCATGAATGACAGGAGTATTTCAGCACAGAGCTGACTGATATCCCCAGGCACCAGTGTGCTGTTAGTCCAGGGGGCTCAGCTTGAATCCAGTACCAGCCACGGCTGGTGTTAATTCTGCTCCAGCCAAACTCTAAAACACTGCTTTGCCTCTAGACCTGTCTGCAGAGTTTATTGAGCAAGATGCGCAAGATGTAAAGATCCTCAAGATAAGCAAGGGCTTGATTAGAGGGAATTAGGTAGGCAAGTTGTCCTTGCAATAATCTACGAAGCCAGTAGTTAAATCTGTCACAGCAGCTCCAGTGGGCTGTGACACCAGAAACTAACGTGTACACTTCTGTGCTAGGTCTGAATGGAGCTGCCTCTGCTCAGTGTCTGAGGGTCTTTATTTCCCTTTTTCCTGGGGGAAGAACCTTGCATAAAAAGTTATGTACTCTGTGTGTACTCCATGTGTACTCTGAGTCTTGTGAATCACTTGCTTGTGGTCAAAGCCACTGTCATCTTTCAGTTGCTAACTGGCTTCCTAAACATGCCTACAGAAACAGTCAGATTGCTGTGTGGTAAACAAATTACTTCTGACGGGGTACTGCCAGCACTGCTCCCAGACGCCGGGGAAGCCACAAGATGGGCTGCACAGTGTCTGACTGGAGCAGCTCTAGCACTGCATCCACAGCTACTGCAGTGTCAGGCTGCTTCTGCAAGCACTGACAAAGAACCAAGCTTGTAAACTCCCACTACCATCTGCTGAAGCTTCATATCCCAGAGGAAAAATGGATTTTTGCTTACACGTATATTTAAGCACTTCAGCAGCAGAGAAGACAAGGGCGTAGACACTCTCTCTGGCTAAAAACACAAAGCCATGTTTTTTCTTTATAAGAAAAAAATAACTGCTGCTCCTTGACTTCCCATCTAGGACAGGAGATGGAGAAGGATTTCAAAAGCTTTAGAACCTTTCATTACTTCCTGGAGAGAAATCCTTAGGACAAGTATTGTTTAATTCCTCATCAGGTTATTTCTAGAATGTGAGGAAACTGTCTCAAACACAGGTTCCAAAGGTCTGCAGAGGGCCTCGAGTTGTTCCAGGCCCTGAGATGTTTCAAGGCAAAATGAATATCAGCAAACAGTGGAGATTTTTTTTCCATTTTCCCCTTGTGCTTCACCTTGAAGCAGCTGTTAGCAAAGCCAGAAAACTCCTTTGCCCCTCAGTGTATTTAACGCAGGCTTGGCAAAGGGACTGCAGTCTGTCAGCTCATGAATATGGGAATTGCCTAATTCTCCAGCTATTCTTATTACCTCAGCCTGAGGGTCCCAGCTTTCCATAACTAATTCCTGAAATCACAGACTTTCCACTGTCCTTGCTGTCCTTGAGCAGCAAATCGCTCCTCCTCATATAACTGATGCTGGCGCCTGCCGTGGTGCCACGGGTTTTCCCAGGGCCCTCCCCTAGCAGAGATGGCACTGTGGACAAGGCTACTGACTCCAGCACTCCTGTGCTGTTCCTGGAGTACTCAACCTTTGTTGCTGTAATTTACAGTAGGATGTTTGGAAAAAAAACAAATGCTGCATAGCCCTGTGCATTGCTCGGGCTGGCTGAACAGCTCTGAAGCCTGGGCAGTGGGCTGCAGGCTGGCAGCAGTAATGCAATCCATCCCCAGCAGCCGAGGAGATCCCTCACCCTGTTCCTACAAGCTGCAAAGCTCCCTGCCTCCCTCCACATCCCACCTCATCTGTGACTCCCACAAAATCTCGGGATTTGCAGGGCCTCCCACCTGTCACTTCATTTTTCCCTCCTTGTCACATATGTTCTGAGTCTATCTTCCCTCTCTGTGCCCATGCACCAGTTTTCTACCTCTTCTGTTATTTTTCCTAATATCACTGATCCTGCCAGCCATGTCCATCCTCCCAAGACTCAGAGCTAAAGCTGTTCCCGTGCTGGAAGGCGATAATGGCTGCCAGGAACCAGCTGTTAGGGCTGCTGCGAACTGCAAGGCAGATGGAAGCTGAGGCTGGGATAATTATGAAGCAGGGACTGCAGAACTTGAGGTTTCTTGGCTAAAGGTGCCTAGTTTATTCCCAGAGACAAATGGGCGTATCCTTTGAATGTCAGCGGGTGACATGGGAGCAGGAAAGTCATCAAACTGTGGACAGTTTCCAATGCTGGCTATGTGATGCTATATGCTGGCTATATGCTGGCATCACTGCATGTGATGCCTCCTCATCTCAAACACCCACGGCTGCTGCTGCCAAGCTGCTCTGGACAAGGAGAATGTGCTCCTGCACTGCAGTGGCAGCTGAGGAAATCTCCATACTGGTTTCAAGGGCTGGATTTCTGCAGGGCACAGGCAGGTTAGAGCTTTTCTCATGGGCCAGGAAGCAGCTACAATAGCACGGGCTGTATTGCATCAGGATCATGGCAAGGTGGGAAAAAAACCTCTTAAGTTCTTCCTATTTGTTTTTTTTAGTTTTTTTTTTTTCCCCCTAGAGCTTGCCAAAAGGATAACTGCATCAGTGGAAAATAACAACTTGATTATGTCTTTTAGCAGTTCATTTATTCTTCATATTTCCAAACTGGTCCATTCAGAAGCTGTAGCAGGAATCACCTTGGAAGCCCACAGTTTTGTAATCAGAACCTCCCTTTCAATTAGTCATGTTTTATGGCTGTAAACACAATAATTCCATCAATACTATGGAACAGTCATGTTGCATTTGCATTAACATAAATGAGTGCTGATGTGCCATAGAGCTAATCTGATATGACAGTAATTGGCTGATGCCCAGCCATGGAGGCCCTGGAGCTACACTTGCTGTCTCTCTAAAAGAACTGTCCTCTGAAACACTGGAAAGGAAATAAACTGTGATACCATATTTTGCCTGCCAGTAATCAACAATGCCTCTTGCACCTGCAGCACCAAGGTGTCTGAGGTTGGGGAGTAGTTGCTTTGTTGGTTGGGGTGTAACAAAAGTGGAACTTGATCTTCTTGAAACTTAAATATTCAGAAACCAGGATTTCCAGAACACATCGTTAGCTAAATCAGACTCAGCAAGCACCAAGTGGATATTAAACTCAGAAAAGCCATAAAAGCATTCAATCTACTTTCCTCTTTGACTACCAGGGACTATATATCATCACCTAGTCTGCAGTAGGCTTTTCTTACACAGATGAAGTTTAAGAAGCTTAAAACTTTATAAATGCTTTGGGGCTAATGTTGTTGTCTTGTGCAGTGCTCTACGCACAGGGGCAAGCCTTAAATCTGAGACTGCAGCTGGGGTTCTCTGGTTAAAGGCCTTAAAGGAGATCAACATAAGCGATGCCTAAGGATGTGAATTATATCTTAAACACAGCCCATCTCCTGTCTGGGCCCTGAAAGCAAGTGGACAGACTCAAAAACAACCTAACAGGAGTCTTCACAGTTCCAGTCACAATAGGAACCACTTATTTTGCTTTTGGAAATACGCCCTTTCAAGAGTGTTAGTGAGGAGAGACCATCAAAGAGGCTATCAAAGAAATCACAGGCAATACCCAGGCTTTCTGTATTTGGCTCATCAGCTCTGTGCATGCTTTGCTGTCTGGCTGCACAATGCCTTGCCCAATGCAACCTTGTCCATGATGGAGCTCTTGGGTTCTACCAAGTACAAACCAAAGAAGAGAAACCTATTTTAATCAGAAACCATTCTTCTCAACAGTATGGCACTAAAGGCATATAATTTTCAGCAATATGCAAGAGCAGTATCTCAAAATCCCAGAGCATATGTGGCCTGACAGTGCCCAAAACAGCTCTTGGAGCAGCCAGTGAAATTAGGAGAGAATTTTGTTAAAGGAGGTGGAGAAGAGTACCTTAAACAGAGGATCTGTGAGATGATGGCTTAGGTTCTGGATTTGACTTAAATCTTTCTAGGTCTCTGATCTGCTCCGTCATCTGTAAAATGGGATCAATAAAACCTTCCTGACTTGCACCAGTGTTCCCAGTCTTAATTGATGTCTGTGAAGCATTTTGAGAGTGAAAAAAACCATTACCAAGCCCTCAGGCCTTACTATAATACCAACAAACAACACAGAGTTGTTTAAAATGCTTTTCAGTGCCACAATGACTGGGAAATGAGGGAAGGCAAAAGTGTAGATGCGCCCAGCGCTGCTTTGCTGCAGTGTAAATGAAAATGGTAGGAGTAGGTTTTATAGATTTCCCTCCAGGGAATTCTGTTTTCAATAATGCTGTAAAACTTCTACCTCTATAAATTCAGATGCCCTTCCTAACACCTCAGGTATCAAAACCTATTATGAATTCGGGAAAATATATCTTGGAGTTGAAAACGTTATGAATCACATGGAAACAAATTAAGAAATGACTCACTCGGACCCTGCAGATGTAAAGAGCTTAGTGCTGCCCAGCCACCCGCTACAGCGACTGAACTCAGGCTAGTACCGTGCCCAGCACACGATACCCCACCTTGCACAGCAAAAAAGCCCCAGGCACCTCACAGGCTCTATCCTGCCGGTTGCAAAGCTGTCTGTGCCTGCGGGTGCAGTTTTAGGACGCGGGGAAAAGCGCTCGGGCTCGCCCGGACCCAGCGCTCGGGCCGCGTCTGAGCCGGCGGAGCCGCCGCTGCCGGCGAGGAGCGAGGACTGCGGGGTGCGGGGGGAGCGTGCGGGACCCCCCAGACGAGCAGGTGTCAGCCGGGGAAGGGTGGAAGGGTTCGAGAAGCGCCTGTGCCCCCCCGCTCCCGCTGCCCGCGCTGGGCGCGGAGCTGCCGGTGCGACACGAGCGGCCCCGCCGGACCCGGGGAACGAGACCCAGCACACAGATAAACCACAAAGCCCCCGTGAGCCGCCCCGGGCGGGGGGCAGGTGGCCCCCGCCGGCCCCGCAGCCCTCCCGCACCGCAGCCATTTGCCTTTGTTGCAGCCCCGCGCCCGCAAGGTGCGGCGGGGCCGGGGTGGAGGATGGAGCTCGCCCCCCGGTCGCTCTCCCCTCACAGCGCGGCGGTGGGGACACGTCCTGCGAGAGCGGCTGCCGAGAGGGACCTGCCCGCCCGCCGCCCGCACCCACCTACCTGCGGAGCCCGCCCGGGACGCGTCGCCCGCCGCCTTTGTTGTGCATGCCCGCCCCGGCAGCGCCGAGCCGCGGGTCGGCTCCGGCCCGGCCCCTCCGCGCCCAGGCCCCGCTTAGCCCGTCGCCACGGCAACGGCGGGCGCGGCTCGGGAGAGGGACCGGCCCGGGCCCCGCCCCGTGAGGGGGCTGAGGGGACCGAGCGGGGGTCCCCGGGTGTCGGCGCCGGGCAGTGCTGAGGGGACAGGGCTGGGGTCCCCGCGGTGCCGGGAGGCGGTGCCGGGAGGAGGCGGCCCCGCAGGCTCGGCTTTAGGGCGCTCGGCTCTGGGCGCCCGCCCTTCTCCCCAGCCCTGCGCCCCTCCTTCCCCAGCGTGCCGGGCAGTGCCGAGCCGGGCTTGGGTGAGCCCCCGGCTTCTTCTTACAGTGCTTGGGATCCCTCATTTTCCATGTCCAGTAGCTTTCCTTTAGATTGGCCACCTCGGGAGTCCCTATCTCCGGCCACAGATAGCGCGTTCTTTTGTCCTACAGCGCGCACGGCTCTGGTGACTTTCCTGACTATCTTCCTGCATCAGCCTCCACAGGCTCTTACACGTGACGGGCAGTCTCGCAGGAAACAGGGGAGCTGCTCTGAGAATAAAGCCAAGGCAGTGGTAATGCCTGCGTTTATCTCTGTTCCTGGGCATAGGAATGAGTTGTATCCTGCATTTGCAACTATTTTAATTGACCATTCATTTTACGGATAACAGCAACAGCTTGAACGCCTCTTACCTTTCAGTTAGTAAGGACTCAGCAAATTAATGGTTGCTTTGATTGTTTCTAGGATTAAGTCCTGCAGTTCACTGGCTCTATTGTGTAATGCTAGAGTTAGGCCCAGCTCACTCTATTTGGGTCTTGTTACCCGACTTGTATGTGTGTGTGTGTTCATCTCGTTCTGAACAGGCAGGTTCTGTATTGGTGAGACATGTTAAAAGGAGATCAGAATAGCTTGTATTCATAGGTTTTATTAAGAGATCCAGCACAGGTAATAACATTGCTTCTGTTTGAGGATGTAATTAGAGAAGAACTAAATTCTGCAGAGAAAAGTTGAATGTGGAGAGAAATTAATAGCATGGCAACCTTGAGCTCTTTCTGTGCGCTCAACATCTGATTGTACAAATATTTTTTCTTTCCAGGGCCTGTCAAACTCCAATTTCAGTTTAGTAGAATGGGATTTCAGTGGCACTGGTCTCACAGCATCCTCTACTGAAGGCTCTTAAATTACAAATGCAACAGTAAGCCTCATCTGAGAGAAGACAGAAACAATATGTGCTCAAGGTCACAGAGGAGTTCTCCAGCACAACTGGGAAAAATTGCCAGAGCTGCGGTGTCCTGACCTTGGTCCTCACCTGCCAGACTTTGTCATTCTGTCCCAAGACAGCACCTGGAGTAAACCCAGCCCTACCTTCAGGGAGAGCAGGCAAGAGGGGATGGGAGACACCTGTCCTTCAGTTCCCCTTGGTCAATCTGGACCCTTATATCACTCATGTAGTAAACAATCTATTAAAGGGTTCTTCACTGTACACAAGGATGCCTAGAGGATGACCTGCTGCTATTGTGCTGTAAAGAAGGATGATAAGGAGAACTTGGAGGCCTGTTTTGCAATGGTCTTTGCAGCTCCCCCTGCAAAGGGCTGCCTCCTTTTATGATGAAGGATAATTTATAAATAGCCCTGATTCCGCTACTTGGAGAAAGCTTTTGTTCCTCCCTGTACTCGATATACGTGATACTCTGCAGTGGAGAGCAGATGTTTGTACCGGATTCTGCTCGCATGGAACTCGGCCGTAGAAGGCTCAGAGGCAAGGGGTGAAATAGCATCAGGGTTATCTCCTGTCCTCAGCTCAGAGCTCCTATTACAGCCAGTCTGAAAGGCCAGGAGACGCCCTTGGACTCAGCAGCACAGTCCTGAGCGCATGCCTGTGTCTCTGCTGGAGATGAGCATCCTGTTGTTTGCAGAGTCCAGTTACAGCTACAGCTGAAAAAAAACCCTGTCTGCATAAACAGGAATTTTCCTCAATTTCAGGAGCCAGCAGAGGATACCGCCTTGTCTCTCTCTCTGAAAGGGCTGAGTAATTCTTCGTTTGTTTTGTTCCTTTGCTGCCTTCTTCCAGCTCCATGACTTTGGTGGCACCTTTGGCAGAAGAAGAGTCACTGTCCCTTCCATTTTATCCATATCCACCAGAGGATTTTGTTTTCCAGATTGTCTGCTGCTGCTGAAGCTGTAGCAATAACACTCCTGTATAGCTTTACTTAAGGGAGGGAAGAAACAAACCCACATGACAAATTGGTCCAATTTATCACAGCAACAGAAACCTGCAATTCAGCTGAATCGCCCCCACAGGCCAGCTGAGACAGCCATCAGTATTTACGGACCTGAGCAACACTGCCTGAGCAGCTCCAGCTCCACCTCTGCCCCTTCCCTCATCACAGGTGCCCCCAGGTGTGTCACTCCACTGGTGTGGAGGGCACTCCCACACTTCCCCTGGGTGACCAGGGTCTGTCTTCAGCCTACTGGGGAAGGCCTGCTCACTACCCACAGGGGCACAGCCCAGACCTGCTGGGCACAACCGAACTCTGCCCCTTTTTCCTACTTGGCTTGACCACCTGTGCTGCATGTTTATGTCCAAGTAACAGCTCCAAATTTTCTGGGCATGCCTGTGGCACACAGGGAAGTGGGAGCAGGACTGGTCCCATCTCAGTTCACAGTCTCTCCTACAGTCTTTTTTTTTTTTTTTGGGTGACTGTATAACCCAGAGAGGATTGTTCACCTCATAGCAAGCTGGAGATGGCTTCTGTTCAGCTGTCTATACCTGTTCCTGTTATTCAGGCAGGAGTATTTTATTCCAGAAAGAGCTGCAGTGAAATAAAATGCTAGCAATATGTCCTGCCTATGGTGCATGTGGTGCAGGACTTGAAAAGAGCATGAATCAAGCTATGCCTAATTCCTCCCAGCAAGGGAGCCTGGAGATCTCTTTTGCTGGGCTCAGGCTCCAAGCTGGCCACAGCAACTGGCATTTGAGAACATCTCCCAGCTCTGCCTCAGCATGTAGTGGCTCTGTCCTGGCTTGTTCTGCCTGGAACAGTAACAGGAACAAGTGACAGGTTATACAGTTACATATGGCCATAGGCACGTTCCCTCATGGCTCTTGTGACTCTGTTTCCCTGGTCTGTAAAATGAAGGTGACTGCAATATCCTGGTGGCAAGCACAAAGTAAAACAAGGCATTTTTGTCAGGGCCGTGGTGGGGCAGAGGAGTTTGGACTGCTGGATCAGCAACTTTATTTCCTTCAGCAAGATAGCACCTTCTACTAGGCTCTCTGTTCACTTAAAACCCCTCATTATCTAGCAAACTGCACATTCTAAAATGGGACTTCATTATCCACTCCAATGGCAGTGAGTGGCAGAGGCCATTACAATAAATGTCTTTTTGGTAAGATGGCTCTCTAATTCACTTTGTATTTAACACTGGCCATGGGGGGTCAGGTCTTTTTTTAAGATACATTCAGCAAAGCCCCTTGGCGACCATCTCCCTGCTCTAAGGAGGTGATCAGGAATAAACAGAATAGCAGCGGCTGCTCTGTCAAAACAGTTTGGGGCAGAGGGGACAGTGATGTATACAGAGGACTCAGGTATTTAGGAGGGAAAAGCTGGCCTGCTGCAGTGCATCCATCCAGAGATGCTGGGCCTTTTCCAGTGTCAGAGCTTGGAAGCTGCTGGGGGACAGTTTCCATCCCCTGGAGTGCTTGGTGACTGCCCTGTGGTTGTAGGGCACCTGTCCTGTTATGGGCACGGCTTAAAACTAACAACAGAGTTGTGCAGAACAAAATGTAACTCAACAGACACATGCGAGTGCCCTAGCAAACACCTAATGGATTGTTCCACCATTTAACTCTCCAAGAAAGGAATCACAAGCCAATTCAAGTGCATTCCAAATCACAGTTCTTTTCAAAAAATTAACAGAGCCCAGCTCTTCCTCCTGGCAGCTGTCCAGTTATTAATTTCAACGTATCAGCTGCAACTGAACGGGCTTGGGCTTCTGCCCACTATTTCTATTTATTTGTTTTCCATTCATCTCCACTGAAATTAAAACTCAAAGCCATCTAGAGAGAATGGAAAACAAACATGCTGAAACAATATTGCTGCCCACATAAAACCAGCAGAAATCACTGCACTTTTTCCTCCTCTGCAGTGAGGTAAGATCTAATTTTTAAGAATCTCTGTGCCTTTTACCAGAAAAATAGTGCAGGCTCCTGTGGCACTAGTGCAGCCTCGAGTTCTTGTTCTGGGCACACCCATAGGCAGGATCCTACTGGAGGTGTTTACTGTCTTCTGGGCCACAGTGACTGCAGAGGCCCTGGGCTGGAGACCTTTCTGGATTAAACAACTTCTTCACGGTTTAAGACAGAGCCAGATGGTCACACCGAGGCTACAATCCCACGTAAGAGTTTGGACTGTGCCCATGCTCCCGTACACTGCATTGGCTGTGAGAAGAACTGCAGGCTTTTAAAGGAAAAAGGCAGCCCAAGGGAGCGCTGGTGACCTGTGAGCCCCAAGGAACATGGGCTGCTGAGGGCTCATGGGTCCATCTGGAGAGCATCTTCAGTCATGGGCTTGCCCAGCTGGTGAAGAGGGCTTTAAACTACAGTTGCCAGGGGAGAGGAACCTCCATCCATCCCAGCTTGATGTCAGAGCCAGCAAGAGAAGCCTAGAGTCTGGAGAGGGATCACAAGTGGGCAGAAGAGCACCTGAAGAGCAGCATAAAGAAATTGCAGCCACTCCAGCCAGGAAGTTGGTCTCATCAGGGATCCAACTGGAATGCCCCCGTGCAAATGCACACAGCATGGGGAATAAACAAGAGGAGTTAGAGATATACATATAGCAATATACACACCTGCAGGGCTGTGATCTTATTGACACCACAGAGAAGGGAGGGATGGCTTCTCTGACTGGACTCTTGGAATGGAAGGATACAGGCTCCCTGGGAAGGACAGGCATGGGAGACAAGGTGGAGTTGTTGCCTTCTATGTCAATGACCAGCTGGAGTGCATGGAGCTCTGGAGATGGAAGAGGAGCTTACAGAGTTTATGGGTCAGGATTAAAGGGAGGGCAGGGACATTACAGTGGTGGTCTGCTACAGGCTGCCCCAAGAGGAAAACCAGACAGATAGGAACAGCCTCACATTCACAAGCCCTGGTCCTCATGGGGTGCTTAAACCACCTCAATACCTGTTAGAGGGACAACACAGCAGGGGACAAGCAATCCAGGAGGTTCCTGAATGCATTAATGATAACTTCCTTCTCCAAGAGATAGAGGAGACAACAAGGAGAGGTGTAGTGCTGTAGCTTCTTCTCACCAACAAGGAGGGGCTGGTAAGGAATGGATCTCATGGGCAGCCTTGGCTGCAGTGACCATGAAATGGTGGATTTCAAGATCCTAAGGCTGGCAAGGGGACTGACCTCTTGAGTGACCTGCTTGGTAGAGTACCATGGAATAAAGCCCTGGAGGGAAGATGAGCCCAAGAAAGCTGGTTAATATTCAAGGATCACCTTCGTCTCCAAGCTCAGGAGCAACGCATCCCAACAAAAAGGAAGTCAGACAAAAAACTCCAGGAGGCCTTCATGGATAAAAATGAAACTCCTGCACAAACTCAAACAAAAGGGAGCTTACAGAAGGTGGAAGCAAGGACAGGTAGCCTGGGAGGAATACAGAGAAAGCACCCAGTCTACCTCGTGCTTGTTTGATTTTGTATTGGTGGCTTGTTTTGTTCTGAACCCATCTTTATTTCAAAGCACGTGACTTGATAAAAATGTTTTGCTATAAAAGCCAAGGCTTTTCCAATGTCCTGATTTTTTATGCATCCCAGTGTGAATAAGAACTGAAAAGACAAAGTTTATAAACTTACCTTTAAAGTGATACAAATTACAAAATATTTACAACTACATTTACAACTACAGTATTTAAATCCTATTTGCAACAAGATCAATAGGATCCAACTGTTGATGTACAGGAAGGGATTCTTTCCAAGATAAGTAAAATACTCTAAAATGAGGTTTTGGTATTTTTCAGTCTTTTTCAAATGTTTTCCTTCCTTAAAAACACACAAAAGTAAGTGCATAGTACAAGGTATGAGTCTGGTTGAATATGGAATTCTTCAGCTTGTTACCTATAAAGATTTTCTACCACCAATAAAGAGAGTTTCCAGTTCTGTATTTAGGGCCTCGTCAGGAATTACATCATCCTCCATAAACTCATCTCCAAGCTTTTTCCACCATGGCCAGCGAGTGTATTTCAGCATAGTGTTGTGGGATTGTCTTGCCTTGGTAGCTACAGGGACTGATCGACTCACAAAGACACCAATGTCTTTTTCTGTGGTCTCTGCTAACCCTGGAGCATCTGTAAAAACAAGGAGAAGAGTTTTTTATATTTTGTTTGTGGCTTTATGAGTATTTCAAACAAAAAGAGGAGCACTACCCTCCCACTTCCCACTGTCCTAGGTCATCCCTTTCCCCATGCTGGCATTGCAATTTTATGACTGCATGATAAATCTGATTGGAGAGGTGATCCAAATAAAGGCTAATCCGAAAAAATAAATACATAATGGGGTAGAAAGAAGAAGGGGGAAAGCAGGACTACTTCTTTTAGGTGCAGTGGTGGCATCCACCAAAATGACTTCTTGGGTAAGTATGACCTAAGAGGATCTCCTGGTCACTACTGCTGGATCAGTGCTCCTGGCACAGGGTGACATCAGCAGGGTGTTTCCACTGCTCTGGCACAGCAGCACTGAGAATTCCCTGCCTGGGGGACCCAGCACAGTGTAAGAGTGTGTTGCTGATTTGCCTGCTCAGGGAGCAATGAGCTGCAGTGACACAGCACATGACAGACTAAATAATGGAATTCAGTAACGTGCTGAATTCTACCGGCTTGGGTGCTCTCTGGTGGCTACAGTTTGCTACGCTTGCTCCTTCACTTTGGGCCACTTGTCTGGAATTAAGATATCACAATAGTGAATTCTGTTTCACATAAAGCCAGGCCAGAGAAAATGAAAACATGATTCGGAATTCATAGCTCAAAGATTTCCTTCTTTATCTGGAAGGGGTTAGAGGACTTCAACCAGCAGCTTACTTACAACACAAGAAAACAAAACAAAGCAAAACAAATGTAGAGGAATAGGTTGTGTGAGATTCCCTTTTTAGAAATTTTAATGCCTTTTACAGGCCCATTGCTTGTAGAAGAATAAGATACTCCTTGAAAAGCAGGTGTATTTAACCTACAGCAATACTTGGATAATCTTTAACAAAGACTGAATCTCAAGATAAGGCATATGGCAAAGGAAGAAAGATCTTTCAGTTTTGAAATGAGGCTTTACCACTGCTCACTCTAATTTTCCATCTAAATTGGTTTAATCCAAATGGTAATCAAAACTATGATCACAGGCAGTCACATACTCATTAGCAGCTCCACATCAGTGTTGACCTGAGCCAGTAATGTTTCTCTCCTCTGCGCTGCTCTCTGATCCAGCCTGCTCCTCAACAGGAACTGTGCCAGCTTTTCCTGAGCCCGCATATGTAATTCTTTACTCATTTCTTCTGACATTTGGGAAGCCTGGAGGAAAGTAACAGTTTGTTACCATTAGGAGCTGGTTATTTTAAATCCTCCGGGGGTAGAATAATGCCTAAACAAGGAATGCAAATGCTGTTCTTAATTGTTAACTTAATAATTTTGCTTCCTCTGCAACTATCTCTGAAGTTATCCTGCATCAAATATATAAATTTTCCAATTACAGTTTGCTTTGACACTTTTTATTAGATTAATGGTTAAAATCCCCAATATCCTGCTGCCTTGCAGTCAAACAAGCAGAGTTAACACACACATACCTCACATGGATTATCTTGATCAAAATTTATGATGCTGAATTTATTTCATCCCTAGAGTATTTTATGTTGCATCATTAATGCAAATTATGAAATGACTAAGAAACAGACCGGATGCAATTTGATGTAGTCATCCACCTTCTGCTGCAAAGCTAGTCTCTGCTCATCAGTCAGTCCCTTGGGTTCTTTCCAAGGAGAGAGAGGTCTCCTCCTTCTTCGTTTTTCCAAGAATTTACAAGCCTTTGTAAAGAACATATGAGAATATGACAATAACAGACAAGAAGTTTGTCTTCTCACTTCGTTTGTAATCAATCAGTGAAAGAAAAATATTTCCATAATGCATTGTTAAAGCCTAAATGCAGCTATGATGCTGAAAAGACAACATACAAGGTCAGCATGAACACTAAATAGTAAGTAACAACACTCATAATAAGTCACTGACTCAACTGTAGTGTGGTGACATTCCAACCTTGGGTTTTGAAGTAGCAGCTCTTACGTTTAAGTTACAAAACTGTATTAGGATTTGTAACCTATGCAAGGTTTAACCCTTCTAAGCAACTTGTGGCTCTAGACTATCATCTGCTGAGTAATTTTTTGGTAACTTATGGCTACATTGACAGTAAGACAATAAACAGTTTTGTGAGGCATCACAATAATCCACTCAGTCCTATCTAATGCTAGAACAAAAGTATATATACTTACTGTTCTCTGAATAATGACAGCTGCTTTATACTCCTTAAGAGATTGTTTCTGTTGATGAAAAATTCTTCTTGCTCTATACCCTCGCCAGAATCTCTGGATAGTTAATGCTGATTTATCCTCCATTTCCTCCATGTATTTATTTACCTGACCTACAAATGTAACAAAAATCCAGTTACAAGACTGTGGGTTAGGATCTCTTAACAATTTACATTGTTAATCCTCAAACTAGATAGTACCAAAGCAGCTTGTACCAAAGCAGCTTGGGTGCTCTCAGTTAAAAACCCCTCTTCCCCAAGGTCCACTAGCTGTGGGTCATGTCTTGCAGACTTGTAGCTGCAATGGAGCTTTGTAACACAAGAAAACGGGCTCTCCCTTTCTCCTGCACCATTCTGAAGGCAGCAGATCCTGATCAGTAGTTACTGAGCCCTGGGGGAATTAGCATGTTCTCTTTCAGATAATTGGGTCAGGAGAAGAGACAGTAAGACTACAGTGCAAACAGACGTGCAAGATTGGGACATATATTTGGGGAAACTGGAGGAGTCCCAGATAATTTAATCTTCTGCTATAGTTTAATATAAATCATACTGGCATGGACTCTTTCCAGTAAGGCCAGCTGTCGTTCATGGAAGAGTCTCATGGCTCTCTGTCTCTGAAGTTGCATTTGCAGTTTTAGAGCCTCATCTTCCTTCTGTTTTGCTAAGTGTTGCAGCTCCTGTTCCCGTTTAGCTCTGCAATACATAAGTACATTAACAATTACCTTAAGCTGTACATTTCTTTAAAGTACCTCTCTTTCTCTTTGTGTTAAATAGTCCAGCGCTGAGAAAGGAAATCCGCAAAATAATCTGCTACCCCAGCTGTTGGCTGCAGAACCACACCAAGCAACGAAAAGTCACCTTCAAATTAGCCACAAATCTCTTATACCTACAAAAAACTCTGAGCCTATGAAATCAAAGGATAAAATTTTAGTTAGGATAAAGTTCTAAGGACCCTGAAAGGAGCAATGCTCCATGTGGGACATTCACAGCCAGCACAAACTGGAAAAATAATTTTGTTTCCATCATCTGGGGAAGAAGTAAAGCAACATTAGCCATCTGCTCCAGTATGCACCTTTTCCAGTCCATCCATCAGCATGCATGGCACCTGCTTCTTATAATACATACTACTATTTTTCTACTGACTGCAGGAGTAGATCAGAATGTTGGCTGTCAAGCCTCACTTCTTAAATCTGGAGCGATTTTTTTTTCTCCAGGAAATACAGACTGACATTTTCTCCATCAACTTTGTTAACAGAACACTAGGAAAGAATTTTCTTGCAAATTCTTCCTGATCTGTACTAGATTTGATGTTAAGATGTTGCCCTGCTGTGTCTGGCACTGGAAAAGACTCAGCAGATGTTTCACAGAAAACTCTGCAACTGGCCCTGGAGTGTTTAAGCTAAAAATAGCCTGTACATCAATTATATATGTACTAACATATCAATAAAGAGACTAATACATAAATACTGGATATATTAATGTATCAATACTAATAATTACTGAGACCACTTCAACACGGTCTCTGTGAAGTATGAAAGAGGAGGTGTGAACTAGGACTCCCCTTCACTACCCCTTCTCATCCCAATGGATCCGACCTCATTAGCAGCTTAATGCCTGAGACTTTATGAGTTTACCCCAAAACAAGGTAACAATATGACTTCTCTGTTTCTACTGCAGCAAAATCACTTGCCCACTCAGAACCTGAGTACCCCAACTGGGCCCACAGCCCTGAGTTCTGCTCTCCTCCAGCACTTTTCCAGAGACATTGAAAGAAGTGCTTTAAGCATTAGGAAAGAAAACCAATGGACAGAGCACAGGTACAAGGGATGCCTGAAAGGAGAAAAAAAAGCCAGTAGAAAAGAACTAATGTACAGCAATTTTGGTATTGCTGCATGTCATATCTTTAGACTCACACTACTGTTGAGATAATTGTGTGTTTCTCATCACTAGTGTAAATTGAGGTGCAATTTTTCCACCAACCATACTTTCTCTCAGTCTCCATAACTGGGTGGGGAAAGATGGGATGGAAGCTGTCATGTAAAAGAGACGCTCTGGATTTAAAGATCTGACCCTAACTGAAAAGCCTCCACCACAACCTGACACACCATAATCCCTCTACAACTGTAACAAAGACTTGAAGTGTGCCCACACACCAACCTACAGAAACAGATCATGATACATGTGATTATATCAGAATGGTTTCAAGGAAACTAGAGGTTTTCAGCCCATGCATTTCTGCAAATTAGAGCTGTAAATCTTTACATTTTTAATCCAGGAAATTAATGTTTTAATCCAAACATTATATTTCTACAGTAAATGAAGTTACAGCATCAAACAGGATTTTTGATGGCATTTTCTTGATAAAACTATTAATATTTTCCCCACAGATTTTTATCAGCCTCATTACGTTGAAAACTACAAGAATATTTAATGAACTTTTCAGATGCACCTTTGTGAAACTACCAATAGTGTCTGTCAGGTACTTAAATGCTTCTTTGATACTGATTCTTTCCCATGTAGTCTGCAAAACACATGCTCTTCTTCATTCTCTGTTCCTCCTAATGAAAAGATGCATTTGCTTGCACAAGAGCACACTGTGACAGGGAAATGCCTCTGAACAGAAGTAAAACGTACACAGAGTAAGATCCAAGCTTCCTTCAGCAGTTCATGACAGAGATCAGCCTCGCTCTGATCATCTCTTTATATATATAAAATGGTTTCATTTTTCCTGCATAATTAACACAAATTCTTGCCATTTTAAGAGTCTTACAACTAGCTACATAACAGTGAACTAACTTCAAGGACAGATTACAGGCTTTAACATTCACTGGGGAGACATTTCTGAAACCATAGTTTCAGAAGTTTATAACTTGCAGAGTTTAAATCTTCCACTGCAGCTGCAGGTGAGCCAAGTTTGGAGTTTCAGCCTCTGCAGTATTTAACCACACTTGTTCTAAAATAAATCTGTGAATATAACCAGAACTTGACTGTTAAAAATTAAAAAGTCCTCTTGAAGGTTCTTCCAAAGTCAAGCTTGCAGTATTCCAAACACTATTTTTCAGCATAATGCTAGCAGCAGTTTTGACCCAGACAGAAGAAAACCAACACTGGAGCTGCACAGTTACTGTATTTGCTCAGTACACTGGGACTGACTGAACCATGAACACACAACTTTAAGGATGTTAATAATTTTCCATTCCTCTCAATATTAAACAAACACTTTCAAAAGTCCATTTAAATGATTCAAGAACTACTTAAGAGGCACACACTTATGCTTGCAATATTGAAAATACGACACAAGGGAGGCAAGCAGCTTGTTGACTGCTGATAGTCTTGTCACACTTTCTCTTCTGCTTTACCATGTTATGTCTTGGCCCAGCATCCAAATTTCCTGGGCTATGAGTTTGGCTTGCAGGCTTGCAAGGTGCCTGATGAGAGCAGGAATATTGGCTTGAAGTGTATGGTGGAGTAAAAAGGAGCAACAAGGTGTCATTCTTGGTGTTTCAGTACAAAAGCTGCAGTGACTAGTGGCCCTCAACAAACACACTATGTGCCCCTGCAAATCTTCCAAAAGTTAAAGAGTACACCTCAGATAGTCCAATATCTTCTTAATGCCAATCTAGACAACAACAAATCATAACTGTTTGTTTTCTATCACCTTGGTCACGATGCAATGTAATTTGACATTCATATCTTGGTATAGTTTTGACATGGCAATGCTCAACGGGTGCAAAAAAAAGTTTGTAGAGTCTGAACTTGATTTAGATCCGTTAACCTATATTAAATTCTCACTAAATTTCTCAAAAGAGTTAGCCTAACATGTGCTAACATTACTGCTGAAATCTTACTTCAAGTGAGACAAGCATTATTTACACAGCTTCATTCTTCTGTGCTGCTCCAAGGCAGAGGATACTATCTAGGTCACTGAAACTACTCCACTTCCAAGAGTCAAAGATTTCAAAAATTAATGAAGAACAAGGTCTTGCAATCACCATACTGAGCAAGCACTATGGGCTTTTGTTTCTGCAGCACTCTGGCATGTGGAAACTCTGGGACAGCTTCACATATAATTTACAGTGCAATTTTGTGTCAAGTTAACCGTGAATCAGTTAACTGTTCTACCACCAGTACATCATCTTCTAGTGCTATTTAGTGCAATCCCATGCTACAGTGTGCCACACTTTCAGTTTTCCATATGCCACAAATTTTTACATAGAAAACATAAAAGCATCACAGAAGTAAGTTTTCTCATGGAGAAGTCTGGCAGCTGGGAAAGGGACAGTTGGAGATTTTGGCACCAGAAGTGGCAGTTTGGTACTGCTGGAACAGCACATTGTTTGGATGTTTCTGCTAAAAGAATCTGTAGTGAAACAGCTCATATTGGCATTACATTACCTTTATGTTTTAGAAATAGCAGCTGACTGGAAAAAGCCATCTTCAAGATGAAGGAATACTTGGTCAGCCCAAACTCAGGGCCTGCAATATGGAAACAAACTCTCAGGGAAGGTATTTCCAGCAAGGATGGGAAGGTGAATGGGAATTGCCAGCACAGATTTATCACAGGCAAATCATGTTTGACCAGCTAGATCGCATTCTGTGATGAGATGACTGGCTCTGCGGATGAGGGGAGAGCACTGGATGTCATTGTCCTTGACTTTATCAAAGCTGTCATCACAATCTCCCATGCAGGGCAGGGCTGGCACTCAGAGAAACCTCCACAAACACAGAAAATGGGTCAACAGAAACCACATGAAGTTTAAATGGGAAGTTCTACACCTGGTACCAAACAACCTCATGAATCAGTACAAGCTGGGCACTGACTACGTGGGCAGCAGCTCCAGTGAAAAGGACCTGGGGTTCCTGGTGGGATTACAGGCTGAACATGAGCCAGGAGCATGCCCTTGCAGGGCATACTGGGCTGCACTAGCACAAGCAGAGGCAGCAATCAAAGATGATTATTTGGCTTTACTCAGCACTCTTGAGGCCATATCTGCAATATTGGTCACACTCTACTGGGACCCCCAGTGGTAGACAAGATACTGACAAAAGGGAGGGATAGACACTGTCCAAACCGAGACAATCAGGGTTATGGAAGGTAGGATATAAAAGGACAGGTGAGGTTTATTTAGCCAAAAGGAAAGCAAATCTAATTTCTGTCTTCCATTTCCTAAGTGTTATAGAGCAGACACAGTCAGATCATGGAAGTGGTTAGAAAAAGGACAGGAGGCAGTGGTAAGGAGTGCAACAAGGAAATTCCCACTGGCTGTAATGGAAGAATTCTTCACAAGGCATATCATCCAGCACCAGAAAAGTGGCCAAGTGAAATGGTGGGATCTCCACCCTTGGAGACCTCCAGAACTGGATATGGCCCTGAGCAGAGAGATTCTATTTTGCGGCTGGGCCTATTTCAACCAGGACATTGAATCAGATGATCTGAATTTTTCCTGTCAGCCTGTGAACTGACAAAACCCAACACAAACCTTCTTAATAGACTCCACTCCTTATTGTTTTTCACAAAGCCATAGTGTTTACCTGAAGCTTCTCTGTAATGTGGTCACTGCTTGGAGTAGCTTTTTCAGCCTTCTCCTTGTCTGAAATCCCCTCCACGTAGCCTGGATTATACATGCTGCTTGATGCTGCTTCTGAAATAAAACAGTCTGTAGAATATTTTCTATGCATAAAAATTATGCTTCCATAATTGGACAATGTCAACAATTGGCTAAAACCCACCAGTTTTCAAATGCATCGAATTCACTATCTGTACAGCTTGGGGAATTTAAGGTCTTGTAAGACAGTTATTATCACGAACCCCATATTTGCCCCAAAGGCAGCTCATCTGATCCCCTGTATTGATGCTTTCTGTGGCAAACAAATGAATCTACAGAACAAATATATATATAATCAATGTTAGAAATTTGCCTTTAAAACACCTGAAGCACTTGGCATTTCAAATGGTGATTCAATCAAAACACCTACTCTAGAGAGGACAGAAAGACAAGTTTGGAGAATTAGCGGCAGGAAAAATGTTACATTTGCAGTATGATCAGAAGTCACTGAAATGCAAACACGAAAAAGAAAATCAATTCTATTCTTAAATGACTTTAAAAAAACCCCACAAACCAACCCAAACACAAACCACCTTGCTCTGTTGCAGATGAAAGCAAATCTCTACAAACACAACTCTGATTTCTTTAAAGTATTGTCTCTGAGAAACCTGCATGTAAAATTTTTTTAAGAAGCTCATAAAACACGTCATCCCTTTTATTGGGAACACAGCCCAGGTGGTGTTCTTACAGCATATTTTCTCTATATGACTTAATTCTATGTGAATGCTGCTTAGAATTCAGAGATCTAAATTTGTAACACCGACATGAGAAAAGCAGACACAGTTATTTTTATTTTATGATTAGGAAAAAAATTAATTCTTTTTCCCCTATGATTGTATTGAAATCTATGGTGAATCTATAAAGAAAGTCAATCTCTCGAGTCATAGTCCCATATCCTATTAATAACAAATTTCTTGATGTTTTCAAAAAAAAGAAAAAATAATAAATATGAAATTTAAAAATCCATAGTGAAAAATTGAAAAGAGTCATGGAAGCGATAGAGTAAATCCATTCTAAACATACACAAATCACATATAACTAGGATTTCACATAAAAAAGTCTAATCAAACTTTATCACCTGCATTTCTCCTTTTCCACTGAATTGTTCCAAATATAGCACGTCCAACAGCTGATTGAGCTCCCTGTCAAATCCTTTGCCAGTCCACTGTTTATTTAAAAGCCCTTTTAATCCTAAGGGAAAGAAACAGCATGTGATAGCAGTAGGTGAATGTTTCTTTTCAGGATTTCAAAGTAACGAACTGGAGTCAACAAATAAAATCTGATTCTATGTGCAAAGGAACACTAGAGCTGAACACTATTGGCCACCTTTGAGTTTCAATGCAGAATATTATCAAAGAATATCTGGTGCTACAACCATCACAGAGAAGTATTATCCAGTGATTTTGTATGTCTGAATAAGTATTGTTCCTACATAACAGGCAGTTAAATTATCAGTGTACTTTCAGTGTCTTAACAGTAAGTCATTGTAAGGTACTAAAAGAATGTAAAGCACCACAAAAGTGCAGAGTGTTATTAGCACTATTTTCATATTTTTCATAATAAAATTTATTTATTTATAACTGGAATTATTCGATGTCTTATCTGCATAACACAGTCTGTGAGTACATGTGCATCCAATTCATGAGAAAAAGCTTTTTGGGTTTGCAGTAGCTAAAAATCACATTTGTGCTCCCCCCACAAGGCACACACACTCCCTGTGCAAGTACACAGTAACACATGCTAAAAGCTTTGTATCAGACAAATCCCAGAGCCCAAGAGCTCTGAGGGAAGTTGCAGAAAAGAGGAAGGAGGGCAGGAAGTAGGCACATATTTGATAGCCTCCTGAAGAACTGCAGATTCAAGTAACTTTTCCATCTTCAAATCATTGTAAGCATATTCATACACTAGGGAACTCCAACACTCATATACAGGATCTGGATATGGAGCACCAAGTCCTCCATGCAAACAGAAATGGCACCTCTGTGGCACCCCATGCACCATTTTCGAAAGATGATGACAGTTAAACACTTGAGGAGAGACACAGGTGAGGTTCTAAATGGAGTTAGTTGGTGCCCTAAGGCTGTCTACGAAAGCAAGTAGTCTGGCTACACAAGGCAGCTCCCTCACAGAAGTGCTGTGGCTTTGACACAACCATTGGCCAGTCTCTGTACAGACTACACAGCCGATGCACCTTCCAGCCACTGCCAGGGAGTACCTGGCATTTGCCTCTCAGACGTGTCAACCCATGCAGATAAAAAGGCCAGGCCTTCCTGGAAACTGATGTAGACTGTGCTAGTCTTGGGTTCAGGTGATGTCCTCACCTTGGGCAGGCTGCTTCCATTGGCAAAGCTTACACTGAAGCACCTCACACTGGCAATGGCTCTGAGCCACTGAGAAGCCAAGTGACTTCAGTGAGATGGCCAGATGGTGGAAAGATGCTTTCTTTGTTGCTGTTATTCCTCAAACTATCTAAAGGATTCCAAATCTGAGTGAAAACTAACATAAGGATTCTAACTTTAAAAAAAAGTAGAGGAAAAAAGCAATTTTTTTTCATTTCTTAGTGGAAAGACAAAATGCACAGAAGAGACATGAAGAGTTTCTAAATGACTGTGGCATATTGTGATTCTAGAGTAAAACAAAGCATCATCTTTTGATGGAGACTTGCACCTCTTCAGACAAGCCAGCATTCTACAACTAGGATGATCAGACCATCACAACAGATTCACAAGGATCCACAATGTGATACCAGCCTTAGGCTCATTATATTTAATTTCAAACCAAAAGGAAGCCCTCACCTCTCAAGCAAAAGGGTAGTAAAGCTGCCCATCTGGTCCAGAAATCTTCCTGGCTGGTACTGCCTAATAAGTAATCAGCACAAGTGTAAAAAATTGGAATTGAACATTTTTGTCTACCATTCCCATTCCTTACTGTCCTTGTCCCGAAAGGACTGAGGCTGCTCATGAGTAGTTTTGACCAACAACATAAAAGACCTGGCAAGCATCAAAGCCTCTTCCTTATTCACCACAGGCATGACAGAGGACAAAAGGGCTTCCTGGAACTCCCTGCCAGGCTAGAGACAGAAACATTGAATGGGACACCTCATTAAAGAATGAACAACAGAGCAGATTGTACACATATGCAGCCTCCTCATCTAAAGGCATCAAGACAAAATGATAAACTCATTACATGAATTCTTGGAAAGAATTCATTCCAATTACTTGGATATCAAAAGACAGTCAGCTCCTCAATAACAGAACAGCATCTATCAGATGAGCAGACCTGTAACACCCAGGGTCAGAAGTTCACTTTGAGTAAAACTCAAAGCACAGAGGCAGATGTCTGACAGGGCTCTGACTGTGGCAGTACAGACACTCTGCTACTGGGATCCCTCAGTAACCAACCTGCACAGGGAAACAGGAAGAAGTAAAGCCCATCAAGCTGGAAGTGACAAACAACAGGTTTAAAAGACAAGTTACCACATGCAGAGTCCACAGAAGAAGATAAATCTAGGAAACAGAAAGGGACACGGTATCTTAAACTACAACAAAAATGAACAGAAGAGAAGGAGAAAAAAGCCCCAAAAGCAACACAGAACTGCAGTTTCCACCTGTACTGGATAGTTATTGAATCAAGATGGGAAACCTTCATCTTTGTATTCTCACAGTGACTTAACTCCTTGCAGAAGGCTGAGCCATGGGTCCCATGTATGTTTACAAACCTTTGTAGCGAGCTGTGAGTAACTGCACAAGCTGTTTGCTCAGTTTTGCCACCACCAACAGCAGTTTTGTGGCAGCACTTCCAACAGCAGGATTGGTGGTAGATGAAAGCTTATAAACAAGTTCGTCCAAAACAGAGTGAAGGGTCGCTTTATCAACTTGAAGGAAGACAGAACTTGAAAAAGAAGAAAGGAAAAAAAAGGGGAAGGGGGACAGAAGTGTTAATTAAAAAGCATGAGCTTTTTAACAGTGATTATTTTTAGATATGTCAGGCCATATAGCAAGCCAACATGCCCAGCTAGCTGGGCCAGCAACCTGATCCAGGCAGTACTACTGTTTCAATCAACCAATTCCCATTCTCTCAATTTAACCAGATAAAACCTCCAGCTTTTTATTTTTTTTTATTTCTACAACAAAGACTAGGGAAAAAAACCCCAAACAAGAAAACAAAACAATTCTTGTATATGAATAATATATATATTAAATATATAATATATATATAAAATTTATTTTATCAAGTGGTAATGAATTGAGTTTAAAATTTATAACTCAGAAAAATAATTATATGAAAACAACTGACCTATTGATCCTCAAAATATTGTCTAAAACAGACATCATTATAATTGCTGTTTCAACATCATCTGTTATTAACAACTGCAGGAAGCAATCATTTTGCAGTACTGCAAAAAAACCAAAAACAAGCAAACAAGAAATTACGCAATCAGAACCAGACATGAAAATACCATAAACCAAATAAACTTCATTATGGAACACAAGCCATAACAAGTAAAACCAGATACTGTTTCTGGAACAAACTCCCTCATTTATAATTTTTACACTGGAACTTACTGAAATACGTAAACTACTTCAAGATCCAAAAAACATGATGAACCCTGTTTTTTCTGCCTTTGGATATCCCCCAGGCCCTGATGTTGCAATGGAATAAAAGCTTCAAAACCTTTTATGTTACACTAGTACCAGTTTCTTATTACAACAGCAGAATTATCACTGGGGCAACAATATCCAAAAAAGATAAGGACTTCAACCTTGACAGTTTGTTACACCAGGTTATTTAATCCAAGTCCACTGATGTCATTAAAGCACCATCTTTTTTATGACAGTGTATCACTGTCTACGTAGTCAGCAATTTTTCTGACCATGTGTGTTTTTAGTTACACATCTTATGATCCTTATGTTTTTGTTCTATACTAGAAAGAAAAACAAATTCTGCTTTTTAAAATCAGCATTATTAACACTGGTTTAATTGAAAGCTTATTTTGGTCACAAATGTATAGTGAAGTTTCTTAGGTATTTGTAAAGTTTCCTGGCATGGCAAGAACTTCAGAAATCTGTTCCCAACTCTAACCACTCCTCAGGGCCAGCAATGTACTCTAGTCAAATTTCTGCATATTTTAATCACACACAGGAAAGGATCAACTGTCTCTTATTGGGAAAAAAATTAATTTTAAAGGTATAGAATTACAATGGGAAATTGCAATTTTAGAATTAGAAGGAAGACACTTCTAGTGTTTGTCTCTGGAAGACTAGAAGGGGAACTGTTGAGTATTTCCCTTTAGTGGATCTTTTCCATTTTAGATATTGCTGTTGAGCTGAATACTTTAAGAGACTGATTTACCATCTGCTTCAATATAGAAGACTAGGTGGATACTAGCTTAAGAGTGATTCTTGATACCTGTAGTTGCCATAAATAAATGTTCAGGTGTTTTATAGGTTGTCATTTCCCTTACCACATGCTGCTAGTTGAATATGCCCATCGAACAGCCAGCAGATGGCATTGGTTACTGTTTGGAACCAGTGTAAAAAATCTTGTTTTTCTTTATCCTAAACAAAAGAGAAGTAGGTAAAAACATGTGTATGTATCTTCTGATGCCTTAAGCCCCTAATGTTTTTTTTATTTTTCTAATATTGGTAAGCCTTATAGGTTTTATAAGTAGATTTTAAAAGCAGCAACCCTCCCTTGTCCCTTGTACCTTTCCCTTTCCCTACTGGATTCGGGGGTAGGAGTGATATAGGGAGCATAGAATGGAGTAAGAGGGTTAAGGAATGTGTAAACTAAGGGTGCTAGAGGGAAAGGGAAAGGGACAAGAGACAAGGGAGGGAGGGTTGCTGCTTTTAAAATCTACTTATAAAACTTATAAGGCTTACCAATATTAGAAAAAAAAAACCAAACAAACAAAACATTAGGGGCTTAAGGCATCACTTCACTTAGGAGTTCAGCTTGACATAGTGGGAAGCTTTGTATGCCTTGGGAATTTGGAGACAAAACTCCACCAAATTCCCAAATGAGGTCAGTGAAACTGTAGGAACCAGTCATAAAAAACTCCAACTTGTGAGTTCTTTGAGGTCAGAGATCAGTCGATAAGACCTTAACATACTAAAAAAGTAAAATCACCCATTTGTGAAGAATTCGTAACAAGGAGAGAGAAGTCTTGGTTACTTCTTAGAAAATATTTGATAGCAAAGGAGGGATAAGAAGACAAACAGTAGCTCAGTAAAAATGCATCACAGATTTAACGCACAAAGTGGGAAATACATTACTTAAGATTAAAGAAGAGGGGGAAAAAAAAAGGTACAAAGTGGCCAAGGACACAGTTAAAATGGAAAAGGTTCCCAAAAAACTGGTTTGGTGAAGCTTTAGAAGCACTTCATAGTTGGAGATCTGGGAGCAAACACCAAACCACTATTAAGTTGAAATTTAATCCCTTTGCCAAATAAAGACATTATGTGCCTGCCTGTGATAACACTGGACTGGAAAAAAACACAGAATCAATCACAGAATGGTTGGGATGGAAGGGACCTTAAAGATCACCTAGTTCCAATCCCCTTGTCATGGGCTGAGACACCTTCCACTAGACCAGGTTGCTCAGAGCCCCATCCAACCCAGCCCTGAACACTTTCAGGGACTGGGCATCCACAGCTTCTCTGGGCAACTTGTTCCAGTGTTTTACCACCTTGATAGTACATAATTTCTTCTCAATATCTAATGTAAACCTCCCTTTTTCAGTGTCACAGCCATCACCCCTTGTCCTGTCACTACATGCCCCTGTAAAAAGTCCCTCTCCAGCTTTCCTGTAGCCCCTTTAGGTGCTGGGAGGTGATATAAGGTCTCCTCAGGGACTTCTCTTCTTCATGCTGAACAACCTCCCATCTCTCTCAGTCTCTCTTCACAGAAGAGGTGCTCCAGCACTCTGCCATGACCAGAAGGAATTTAGGTTTTAACATGTGAATGCACATACAGATGCACAGTCTAGAGTCTATATTCCAGGTGTGAGCTACAGGCCACTGGAAATATAGAATCTTGGGGAAGAGGGGACTGCAAAGGAGCTTTTGATAGTACTACATTGCTGACAAATGTTGTTATAAAACATATGGCCTGATATCTCCCACATTACTTGAGCCTCCACAAATAAAACTATGGAAAGCCTAGTCCCTAGATCCGTGCTGTAAACCCCAGCCGTCAGTCAAAGTTTAACTTTGTATTTGATCCTTACTGACACGGAGAAATACAAAATAACAGTGATAAGTTAACATGTAATATTATCTGTTCTGTGTTTTGGCAACATGACAGTTTCTGAAAGCTATTTCAGTACTTCCCTTGACTTCAAAGACTTGTACAAAAAGCAAATGAGGGCAGAATAAACTACAAATCCCCACTGGTACAGTGGGATTTCCAAAATTCCACTGAGCAAGCACCAAGTCTGGGTGCCCAGTCACCTCTGAGACCACAAAGTTTAAAAGACAAAGTACTAATTACAATGAAGACTGCATTTGCATTCAAAAGAAATCTTTGCCCACAAGCATGACTCAAGTAGCATGTAGGCTGAGACATAATAAGAAAGTGTGGGGGAAATTACATATTGCGGATAAGACTTGAGTCTCCTGGGATGTCTTTCAGGACAGTGCTTCCTTCTTAAGAACCAAATGCACTTCTCAAGCATTGGACTAACAGAAAAGATGTTACTGATGCTTTCTGAGAATTGATTGTGGTGTCTATCAGAATACTTCGTAGGAAAACTTTGACTAAGTGCAAGAAGCCAGTGAGCCAAAAAATTAGATAATATGGGGAAACGGGAAACTGTCAGAATCCATGAGGTTGGTTATTTAAATTACTCGTGGGTTTCATTTGTTGAGCTTTTTTCTTCTGATTCTAGAACTCAGAATGCTTCAGAAGCATGAGGGAACCTAACTGGGCAAACCCTTCTTCTCTGCAAAGAGGGGAGAGAAATGTGAGAAAGTGTCTAAATTTATAAATTCAAAACTCTGCCTTTAGCATTCCCAATGTGTAAGTTCAGAAGCAGTGAGCATTCTTGGAAATTTTTTGCCAATTTTACAGCAGAAATTCTATAGCAAAACAAACTTCAACAATTCTGATTTAAAATCTTAAGACTTCCTAAACCATTTTTTGTAAAGCTGAATAAAAGCAGTGGGAACTGAGTCGTTACAAAGGCTGACCTAATGATATGCAAAATTAAGACACTACCGTGACTGGGATGCTGCCTTCTGTAAGGCTTTTCTCCCCTCTTATACTGCTCTCATTCTTCAATCCTACTAATGATTGCAATCCTTCCCTCTACCTTTAAAACCTGTGAAAAGTAGTAGACAAACTTTCTAAACAGGCCTATGGTAACAAACTGGCTTTGCACAAGTCGTGGACCAAATGCTTCCCAGTGACAGATTTCAGTTTCAAAGCTCCAAGGCATAAGAAAAACAACTGTGATTTCTGGAAAATAATTTTTTATAGTACAGTGTCCCTAGAATAATATTCTACTTATCCGATACATGACCTTGGAAAGCTTACAGAGGTTCTCTGCTCTTTTAACTATGAAATTTAAATACCTTGATTGCTCGGATAAATCTCGCCTGCAAGCGTTTTCCCAAGACCAGCAGGTTGTCTATGGCTGAAGGAAGAAACTTCTCGTAAAATTCCTCAGGATCTTCTTTCATCTCTAGTCCTACACAACAATGACTGAAATGAAAAAAAAAAAAAAAAAAAAAAGAAGAAAAAACCATCAACCTGAATAGTCAAAGGCCTGTTTGAACAGCTTTGAATGAATGTCACGTCATCAGAGAAGAAATGCTTCACTGGCATGGGACAATTCACCACTGAACAACAGCTCACTGCTGTGACTGGCTCCAAGGTGGCTGCCTCCAAAAGAAGAGGAATCACTGGCAGGCTGGAGACCATACTACTACTTATTACGGCATTTCTCAGTTTAAAACATATCCAAGGCACTTTCTCCTTTGACTTCAAGGATCTGTTCAGGCTTGTTCCGTATGCTAGGGAAGGGCTCTGATGGTCATGAAGAAGGAAAAAAAAAAAAGGCAAAATAGATAAGTAGACAAAAAATTGGTAAAAGAAGACTGATATGAAGGGGGTGCACATCAGGTAATGAAAATATGTATAAACCCCCCTATTATTTATCACAAAACCTTCAGCAACCCTGTCTAAAACCTTTTGCTAGCTGAGGAAGACATGTGGGTTAGAAATCAGTTCCTCAGATCTCAGCTCTTATTTTACTCACCACAAACACATCGGTTGTTTCTGGAAGACTTTTTACAAGAAACTGCACGTTTTACAACCGGGAAGTTTTTCAGTTCTGCACTCAGCACAGATACCAGTGCAACAAAAGAGTCTTCATGATTTCTTACGAATTTTGCTTTCTGACATTTTATCCAGGCTTTGTTAGCTTTTTAGGAATGCACAAATGTAAAGCTTTGTTTACCAAGGCCCTTGGAAAGCAAATTCTAGGCATGAAGCTGAGATTCATCCAGTTACAAAAGGACATTTTTACAGCTAGAATAAATTTCACTATTGTGTGCAAACTGAAATAGTTTATAGGGGATGATTTAAGTATTACACTACTCTAGTGATAAATCTTGCATTCTCTTACTGAAATTCCTTGCATTAAAAATTCATACTGCAGATGCGGCATAAATAAGAGATGGTCGCCTAATTACTTCATGCCTTAGAATTTTGCTCCCTAGTTAAGCCAAAACCACATACAACTTGAGAAAAATTTAAAATGTATTATTTTTCCTAACATTAAAAATTGAGATTGGATCACTGTGGATTTGAGTTTAAAGTTTTCTTATTTACTAGCTATGAATTAAATTTAACAGCGCCATCCTCACAATATCACTAAATGGGGTTATCTAGTTTATATGAACCCTGTCATCTATTATATTAAAAATAGTAAATAGGTACTTAAAATAGCTATATTAAATAGACACTTAAATATAGCCAAGCTAAGCTGTGAGTCAATCAGGTCAAAGATCTTTGCAAGACGAAATCTAAGCAAACAAGCCTTTTTAAATACCTGCAATTCAAAATTAGCAATTACTGGATAAGAACTGTTGCACTGATGAGTACTGTCCACAAAAAAAGGGTAAAGCCAACACAAACCCTGTTCCCACCACACAGTTTACCCAGCTCAGTGACACACAACACGAATGAATTAAACAGGACCAATTAGGCTATGCCTGACCCCTCCGCTCTTGACTGCTCCCTGCACTTTAACCCTGGCCTTTTCTGAACAGCGAGCCTTGTTCTGGATGGGAGCCAATGTATTGCAGCTTGAAAAGAAAAAGAGCAAGATGAAAGGACCAAAAGAAAACTAGAAGAAAACTTCTTAGCTTGTTGGTTTTTTTTACCTTAGTATCTCTGCTAGCTGGGCAGCAGTGGCCCAGCCTCCCCGCAGTCGAGAGTGGTCTTGCCTAAGGACCAGCAAGCAGTACTGAGTAAGACCATAATCATATATATCTTGCTTAATTTTTTTTGATTCTTCACATCCCAAGGAAGGGCTACTTAAAACTCCTGTGAGATGAAAGCAGGAGAGAGACAAAGATGAGCATAAGATTCTGATGTGCAAGATTATTTTTTTTTTCTTTTACTAAAACATAAGGAGAGTATATGCACACAGAGCCAGGATTAAAGTAGCTGTAAGAGTACTAACAACTTCATAAAGTATTTTTTCAGCATTTTTTGCTCCTGCAGCTACAAACCATTTGTAAGATTATATGACAATCGGGAAGGATCGCTAAACTTAGGTTGCCATTTTCTCTCTACACATTTAGTAGCAAAACATACATTACCTGGGATATGGCCCATTTGTATGAATTTCCTGAGCCACATAAAACCACAACCACTGGGAAACATATAGCTTCCTTATAATTACATCCCAATTTAGAACAGGACCTGACTTGTTCCAACCATTCCTAAGAGCAGTGGCTGTGTGGCAGAAGGGGAGGCAGGGGAGTCACACAGGAGCTCATGATTACACTTCTGTGTTAAGACTTAAACACTGAATACTGAGGACCACTCTGGCTCTCTGCCCAAAATCACTGGGAGAAATGATTTGACCAAGTATAAGATTCCTGCCCGCATCAGCAGGACAAGGGCCCACATCATCGGGGTGACAGCTGAGAGGCAGGAAAAACTCCTGTCCATTTGCTCCCCAGCTCCTCCTCCTTACTGTTGCCAAGCCAAAGGCAGTGTCACTCTCAGGAAAAGCTGCATTGTCAACCTTACAGAGTCTCCAGCCATGCTAGAAATATTCAGAAAAACCTTCAGTATTTAAGGAGGCAGAAGAGAGAAGGACTGTCCATAGCTCGCCAGTCCATCCTTTTATTTTAGGAAAGGTATTAATTACCCTTTAACTTCAGCAGCAGCAGGGGGATGTCCTGTTCCCCGCTCTCAGTGACCTGAGCAGCCAAGGCCAGAACCTGGGGGTCCGCAGCTGCCATGGGGAGCAGCCACAGGCGCACACCACCAGCGATTCCAGCCTCTTTCCTCCCTAATTGTGGCGGTGCAGGCGCGGGGTCCTTACGCCACTACCTCCATCCCACCTCCAGCTCCTGCACCACCGGCTGGAAGCCTCGGGCCGCCCGTCTCCCCCTGGGAAAGGAAACAAACATGGAGGGAGCCCCGACCGCGCTGCCTCCCCAGGCCGCGGGCGGCCGGACCGGCTCTGCCGGCAGCGCGGGGCTCCGGCCGGGCGGCCCGAGCGCGGCCCCGCGGTGCGGGCAGCGGCAGCGGTCGCGCCTCAGCCTCGGCCGGGGGAGGGGGCGAGGGAGCGGTGCCCTCTCCCACCGGCGTCACCCTGGAGCCCCCACGGCCCCCGGGAGCGGCGGCGCCGGTGCCGCGAACCCCCGCACCGCGGGGCCCCCTCAGGCGCTCCGAGAAGACCCTCCGCACACCCCAGGCCCCTCTCACCGCCGCGCGGGGGCTCCCCCACTGCGGGGGGGAAAGGGGGGGGATCGGAACGCCGGACCCGCCGTCTCCAACGCGACCGCTCCCCCGCGCCCCCCTCCCCGCACAGCTGCGTGGTCGCGGCCGCTCTCCGCCAACCAGCACTCTCCCCTGAGGGAGGAGGGGGTCATTTGCATATCCGCGTGCAGGCCGGCGCCTCCGACAGCGCCATTGGTGAAAATCTACAGAGGGGTGCGCCCGCTGCCCAATCCGAGCTCGGGCAGGGCGGGGCTGGGGCGGCGATGACCTATGGGAGGCGGCGTGGGCGGGGCCCGAGGGCCCGGCGGTGTGAGGGATGCTCGGTGCGGGCGGCGGTGGCGGCCCCGGGGCCCGCCATGGTGTGAGGCGCCGCCGCGATGAACGGAGCGGTCCCGTCGCTCTACGACCCCAAGGCGCGGGTGCTGAACCTGGGAGAGAGCTTCGAGAAGCAGCCGCGCTGCGCCTTCCACACTGTCCGCTGTGAGTGCTGGGGTAGCCCCTCAGGGGGCCGGGGAGGGGGTCAGGCTGTTTGTCCTCGCAGTGCCCTGAGGGACGGGGGTGGCCGCGGCCCGGCCTGGCCTTGCCGGCCCGATGGCTGCCTTCATCCCGGGATTCGGGGCTGCAGCTGGGAGCTGAGCGCCGTGCGGTGCTGGTCCTGGGTTTCGGGACCAGTGCGGTGCAGGTTTCAGTCGGTGCTGGAGCACGAACGGCCATTGTATCGCAGAGCTGCCCCTCGCCACCCTCTGGGCACTAACTTCGCTTTTCATGCCTTTTCTACAGTGTCCCCCTGAGGTTCTGCTGGAAGCCGAGCTGAGCAGAAGCTCTGGCTCTGCCCTCTTCCCTTGCGCCGAGTTTTCAGAAGTTCCGTACAATTCAGCAATCAAAGGTTACAGGCAGGCAGCGTTAATCACGGAGCCAGTGCACCCTCCCTGAGTACATAATTACTATCTAGAGAGGTGTGTGCTCAAAGATTCTGAGGGTAGCTAGGAAACAAATGCTCCCAGGATTATAGTCCTGGTAATTTAGGACTGCTGCTTCTGGTTTTGTTGTCTGGTTATTTATAGACTGATCCCCAAGATTCAGTCCTGCGTATGTTCTCTGGAGAGTGTCCTGTGTGTGAAAGGGTCAATTTGCTCCTTGTGAGCAAAGGGAATGGCGTTTACAGAGGATTGTCTGCGACTGTGGAAGGAGAAAAACCTATAAATGAATTTAAACAAGTGCTGCAGCTTGAAATTTGCCCTAATTTTAAAAAGAACTAACCACCACATCTGGTACCTCCTACCCCTACAGTTTCTTGCTGACTCTTGTAATTTGATGATTTGTTCTGAAATCTGTTTTGAAATCTCTCTTCCTTTCCAACAAATGAGACATAGAAACTGGCACGTTCACCAGTTCTATCAAAAGCACATGCAGAAATATCCTCGGACACCTGACGTTTTTGTTAATAAAAAAATCTGGTTAGAAGTTAAGCTGGTTAGACAACAGCTGGTTAGAAGTTGAGATCGGAAGTATCAGTACCTTAATTTTCTCAGGTATTAACAGTCCAATAGCCGTGTCCTAAATAAAGCAAATATTCTCTGATTTGATGAGAAACTTTGCAACTGCTGTGTGCTTGACCCTGTGAGACAGCACGTGGGGATTTGTCCTAAACAAGGTTAGCAGGGGCTGTTACCTGTGTGTCAGCTCCGAGCCTCCTGCTGCGCGCACGGTCCTGCCCACCAGTTCCTGCAGCCTGGTTTTCCTGCCCGGCTGGTGTGCAGGCTGGAGCCACGCTTCCCAGCTGTGGTCTGTGCCACCTGGCCCTTGGCTGCAGGCCGAGTTGTGGAACTGGGAAGCTCCCCAGCCACAGGAGTGCCGCCGCCGGTGACCAGCAGCGCCAGACGGGGCAGGTTGCGAGGCGAGGAGCGTGTGCCGGCTGACGGGTCCCCTCCACGCCTCGATCCGTGTGCGGGGCAGGGCACCGGCATCCCGGGGTGCGACACTGCCCCTGCGTTACCTGGAGCCGCGGATTCAACCCCACATATGTTACTACAGGCCTCGTAGAGCCTCTCGCTGCCACCCCGTCTCCCTAGATCAGCGCAGGCAGCCTTTTGACTGTAGCCTTTCCCAATTCATTTGTGGTGGAAATAATACTTTGTAGATAATGGTATGTAACAGAGCTGCCGTGCTGAGGCAGAGCCGCTCGTTTTCCGTGTCTCACGTTTTTGAAAAGGATCAGAAATTAATACCTTCTTTTCTTTAAAACTTATTTTAACCAATACTTTAGATGTTGAAAAAGACAAAAAGGAAGCTCATGTTAAATTGGGAAGTAATTTCACTTGTGACAAAAATAACTATACTGAAACTCCAAGGTTTGGTCAGCTTCTGACATACATGTTGTAATAAAGTCAGAAATGGATATTGAGAATTGATATTGTTCTTTGCATTTTCAGTCACTTGTCTACATCTCCCATGTTTGGGATCAACATTTTCAAGAACTATTTATTCATTCTTCCAAAAATAATTATGTGAGGATTTATGCTTTGAAATATGTCACAGCTTGTTCAGCCTCTTTATCCATTAAAACCTAAAATCATTTTTCTAATCTTAACCAAAAGGTTTTAACACTTATATTGAATCTTGAGAAAAGCAGCTTGACTTTGAATTGTACTGACTTATGGAATGATCTGCTCAGGAGAATAGTAGGTGATACACCAGCAAAAAAAGGCTTTAACTTAGTAGCCTCCAACTGCAATTAAATGGTGTCTACATTTATAAGATGCCTGAAAAGCCTGTAAATAATCCAGTTTGTTTTTATATTTAGATGACTTTAAGCCTGCATCTATCGATATGTCCTGTGAAGGAGACCTTGAAGTTGGCAAAGGTGAACAGGTGACAATAACGCTGCCAAATATTGAGGTGAGTGGGGTGGCTGAGGGATGGTGGGCCTAAGGGAGTGATTTATTTTGTTGTCATAAGTATATATCCTGAATATGGAAGGGTATAAAGTTTCAGTGCTGTTTCAGAGATGCCTCTGATTTTCAGAGTAGAAAAACAATTGCTCTAGGAATGTAAAACTACAGAAGACCCAAAGGTTAAGCAGCTGCACTGTAACTTTAAGTGTGTTGGCCACATTGGAAATATGCTGTAGGATGACCCAAAGCGTTGCGTACTCAGAAAAGCTTCATGTGTATGTTGGCAGTGCAAGTTTCCCCTTGGTATTTATTGCTCTAGTGCAGTTCTAAAGCAGGAAAGACTGGAAAGGGAAAATTTACTACCTGCCATGCTTTACTGCTCTCCTGATATGGGAACTGAAACCCTTTTGGTGAAAGGAGTCCTACAGGGAGCCTGCTCGCCTTGGGAAATGAGCGTTTAATCAGTTTCAAACTAAACTAAGCTGAGTGAAATCCCAGTCCAGTCAAATACCGGCTGCTTTTGGATATGGCTACTGTGAATCTGATTTAAATTAACCAGTAACAGTTTTATAGGCTAGAAATGATCACTTGTAGTGAACTTGCCATCACTGATGGATTGCTGTTTCTAAGAAGAAAGATTATAGGAGTAACACTTACTGGACTTCTGATTTAATAGGGCTCAACTCCACCAGTGACTGTGTTCAAGGGCTCAAAGAAGCCTTACCTAAAAGAATGTATCTTAATTATCAACCATGACACTGGAGAATGTCGCCTAGAGAAACTTAGTAGCAACATCACTGTGAAAAAAACCAGGTGGGTGATTTACAAGAGAAACAACTGCGCTTTACTCATTGTGAAAATCGATTTGTTAATGGGCCTAAATTGAGATATGTAACTACCCATTACTATTTTTAGCAAAATATAATTTTAGAAAGTAACTGGCCTTGTTCAAAGGAGCAAGAGTTCAGCCTGCTCTCTCAGCACACTGACTTCACAGCTTTCAAGTCTTGACTGCAAAAGAAATGGGAATTTATTTTTTTGTTAACCAAAACCTGTTACATTATTGAGAGAAATAGTAACTATTTTCTGATCACTTTGGAGGGAGAAATAAAACCTCTTTGGACAGTAGTTTGCCTACTGTCTTCCGACTGTAAATTAGGAAATAAAAAAAAAAGATAAATTCTGTGACAGGCTTCAGTAATTTTAATGGCTTGTTTTTCCCATACCAAGATTTTAAATTTTTTTGTCCTGCTGCTGAGTCCATGTAAGTAACTTCCAGCAGAATTATTATTAAGTGATCCTGGGCAGCCAGGTATAAAAACAAATCAACTGACAAAGTGTTATAAAGTTATTAGCACTGTATCAAAAACCAAATTTTAACACATTTATAAACAATATTATACCAGTATAATAACTTACCTAAGAATCTAAGGATAGTATTTAGAAAGGCATCAGAAATAATTCCCTTGTACCATATCCCCTGTATTCTGCCTTTTTCCTTGCATCTTGTCTTCTAGCAATTAGAAATCTTTTCCTTTTACACACAGAGCTGAAGGAAGCAGTAAAGTCCAGTCTCGCATCGAGCAGCAACAGCAGCAAATGCGAAATGCAACCAAAGTTCCCAACAACGTTAAATACTCTCCGTCAAAAGAAAAAATGTTTCCATCTTCTCCCATGGATGATATAGAACGAGGTAAGCTCCACTGGCACATAAGTTTTAGGAACTTTGCTCTTCACGAGCAATTAGTTCATAAGAGCCCAGGTTTTTGCTTGTGTGGTGGGTTTTTTTTGTTTGGTTGGGTTTTTGTTTGTTTGTTTTTTAATTTGAGATTAAATACATTAGAGGTTTGATCATGTAAGCACTTTACTCTGATATGGAAATGGCCACTCTGGCTGAAGTGGGTAACAAAGCAGCATTTATAACTTGCTAAGGCAAAAAAACAGCGAACCATTAGGGTTAATAATGCCAAGGGTCCCACTGCTCCCTCCTTGTCTCTGGCCTCCAACTGCTGCATTAATCAAGTATGTGGTTGATTGTATCGTGGCACTGGAACCAACTGAGTCACTTCCAG